GTGTTATACTGCCTCTAGACTAAAGATAGTACATAGTGGTTTGCATTTGCAAAATATTAGTTATCTATAAAGTATATATTACGTATATTAAATATAAATTAGAAACCTGTAAAAAAAAATGTCGCAACCGATGTGGTACACATCATGCATACATCATATACACATACACATACACACACCCACATCACACAAACGCACGTCGCGTGTATCATACATGTATGTGTGTGCACGGCACGCACGCGCTGATCCATGGCATATGAAACCAATTGGAAATCGTATGTACCATGCGCAGGACGAGTTGGACGACACAGCGCAACGCAGCGTGGTTAGCTTTGCAATCGTCAAGTTCGTTTCGTAAGCCGGTCCGTTTGAATATTAAACAGGAAATAGACGTGTGAACTTTTTATAAAAAAGCAAAAGGAGAAAATGGTCAATGCGAAGGACGACGAGGCCGCGATTGCAGAAAATGGCCCGCAGAAAACGGCCAAGCAGTTGCAAAAGGAGGCTAAGAAGTTGGCCAAGTTGGAGAAATTTAAGCAAAAGCAAGATAAAAAGGGGACTGAAAAGCCGGTGAACGTGAAAGAAAAACCAGAGGTGAGTCTGAGCCAACGTTAAATAGTCTGACTCTGATAGAGTGCAGAGAATATCGGTTTCTTTATTTTCCATATGGAGTCCAGCCACTCATTAAGTACTTTCATAAATCTAACCCGATCGTTCTAATCGGCCATATCTCTTATTATGTATAGACTATTCTAATTAGAGTTGCAAACGTGGTCTATATTTCCTAACGTTTTAGATATAACTAATTAGCCAATTTATTCGATCTCACTCTTGTTTGAACTATTCAGTTCATTTTAACGTCTGAAGAGTCAAGTCTATCCAAATATGCAAATTTGTGTCAATACAGATCCTAACTTTTTATCACAGCAATGCAAGAAGCATTATATCCAAGCATATGCAAACTGCCTACAATATGATAAGATTGACAGTAGATTTGCTCAGATATCGGGTGCCTTCCATTTAGCGATACAAGTTGACATAAGTATCATTGTGTCTTTTTTTCAATATTCATTGACAACAAAGACAGAATGATGCTTGTGTCGACTTATGTCGCTAAATCATCTGTGTTCGTATTAAACTTAGGTTTTGCTGACAAAGCCTGCCAACGTAATCTGCCAGCAGATTGTTGACAGAAATGAAACGGAATCTGCCCATTTATATTTCAATGGAATACATTATTTCCACCAAAGTAGATTAACTTTAATTGACTCTTCATCTTTTTCTACTTCTAAGAATTACAAAACATAAAGAGAAAGTTGAACAAAGATTAAAATTAAAGAATTAGAAAAAGATGAGTGTAAATTGAACTGAGATTCAAATAAATCTACATTGATGGAAATGGGCATTAATCTCTTCAGTGATGATTTAAGATTATTAGAGTTTCTACTTTAAAATGATTAAATGATTAGAATTAGAAAATTTAAGATCAATACAAAAATTTCAAGAATATACTAAGAAAATTGACAATAGCCAATTATTATGGTATTACCATAAGCCAATTGTATCAAGTCTACATTAAGAATAAATGGGTCTTTCAGGATAATCCATTAAACAAAAAGTTTAGCACAGAACTGTTTTGGGATATATTAATATTGACAACAGACTTTTACTACGAAACTTTTCCAAGTATATTATTTAAGGGATGAAATGATTATGAAACGTGTTTAGATTCTATTCAGTTTTTGCACAGTCAATCTATTCTGTTAGATTTTGTTACATTTCTATTGGCATTCTAAAATTTGTTGCAGACATTTTCAAAATCTGTTCTCAGATTTGGCTATATCTGAGTAATTTCTAAATTAATTTAAAAATTAAATTATTATTTTCTAAAGATTTTCAGTGTATTTGTTTTTTTGCTGTGGATGCACGCGCGTATATTGGTAAGCTTAAAATATTGGAACCTAGTTTATTAATATATTTTAGAAGAATGATAAGAAGAAAGAGACTGCAGCAATCTTGTATACCATCAATACACCACCTGGAGAAAAGAAAAATATCACATGCCCGATGCCAGATACATATAGCCCACAATATGTAGAATCTATATGGTATGCTTGGTGGGAAAAGGAAGGCTTTTTTAAACCAGAATATGGAGTGAGTAAATGGAAGATCAAAAAAGATAAAAATTTAGAAGTATATAATATTATATTACAAAACCTATTTAAACTATCTGTGTACACATTAAAATTTTATTCTAGAGAAGAGATATATTAGAAGAAAATCCAAAAGGAAAATTTGTAATGGTAATACCACCACCCAATGTAACTGGTTTTTTACATCTTGGACATGCTCTGACTAATGCTGTGGAAGATGCTATTACCAGATGGTATAAATGTTACATAAATTTAAGCTATAACTTTTGACACTTAAACAAAATAGAACAGTTGTTCCATTGTCAATATATTCCAATATAATTAATTTAGGAACCGTATGAAAGGCCGTACGACACTCTGGAATCCAGGTTGCGATCATGCGGGTATTGCGACTCAAGTGGTTGTAGAAAAAAAGTTGTGGAAAGAAGAAAACAAATCTCGTCATGACATCGGTAGAGAAGAATTTATTAAAAGAATATGGCAGTGGAAGTATGAGTAAGTGTAAAATTGTAGAAATATGATATCAAACAATTTGTACAATTATAAGAGAAACGTAATATAATATATACAATATTTAATTAGGACATTTAATTGAAATATTTTTTAGAAAAGGTGATAGAATTTATTCGCAATTGAGGAAGATAGGCGGTTCCTTTGATTGGAGCCGTGCTTGTTTTACAATGGATCCTAAATTATGTAAAGCTGTTACAGAAGCATTCGTGCGATTGCACGATGAAGGTATTATTTATCGCAGTAATCGCTTAGTCAATTGGTCATGTGCTTTAAAAAGTGCGATATCAGATATTGAAGTGAGTACCATGTGGCTAGATATTTCTCTAATAAACATATTTTACAAAGAATTTTGAATTAGATTTGAGAATCCTCATTAAAAATATATATATTTTTAAAAAAAGGTCGATAAAGTGGAATTAAATGGGCGAACTTTGCTTTCTATACCTGGCTACGACAAAAAAATAGAATTTGGGGTTTTGGTATCTTTCGCTTATCAACTCTTCGATTCAGAAGACAAGATAATTGTAGCGACCACTCGCATTGAAACCATGTTGGGAGATTCCGCTGTCGCGGTGCATCCAAAAGATAGTAGATACATGCGTTATATTGGAAAATATGTGCAGCATCCGTTTTGCAACAGGCGTATACCTATTATAGCAGATGAATTCGTTGACATGGAATTTGGCACTGGTATATGAGTAGTTCAATAAATCAGTAAATGTGTATTGAAAGTAAAGCCGTGAAAGTAATACTGTAGTGAAAGTAGGCCAAGGACTAACTTAACTATTCTTCAGGTGCTGTAAAGATTACGCCAGCTCATGATCCGAATGACTATGAAATTGGAAAGAGGCACAATTTGCCATTTATCAATATTTTTGACGATGATGGAAACGTTATTGGAGACTATGGCAAATTTACGGTACTATATATTTCTCTTTGTGTATTAATATGACTTTCGAGAGATTTTATGAATACTGTAGTAAATATACATGAATTAAATAGAGTTTAATTACAGGGAATGAAAAGATTTGAAGCCAGAGTGGCTATCATTAAAGAAATGACAAAAAGAAATTTATTAATTGGTGTAAAAGATAATCCAATGGTAATACCTATATGCAGTCGATCGAAAGATGTCGTCGAACCTCTCGTGAAGCCACAATGGTAAACAAATGCACTGTGCACTATGTCAAACTTGTTAAAAGAAATTTATCCAATTTCTTTTCGTTTTTTTCCCTTTTAGGTACGTTAAGTGCGATGAAATGGCTGCTCAAGCTAGGGAAGCCGTAAGCACGGGTGCCCTGAAAATAATTCCAGAACAATTCAAGAAAACTTGGTACATCTGGATGGATGGTATTAGAGACTGGTGTATTTCACGTCAGCTCTGGTGGGGCCATCGCATTCCTGCATATGCAATTAAATTTATCAATTCTCGTGCGAACTCAAAAAAGGTAATTTTCAAAAAATAATCTTGAGACATTGTGTTTTGTTTTTGTATTGGGTGGGTTTTAAGATAATCTCATGCGTAATTAATCAAAGATGGTCTTGTATAGATAGATGAATATTGGGTGAGTGCGCATTCCGAGGCTGAGGCTAGAGAGAAAGCGGCTAAGAAATTAGGTGTTAATGTAAACGACATTATTGCGGAGCAAGACCCCGATGTATTAGACACTTGGTTTTCTTCCGCTCTTTTCCCATTCTCCATTTTTGGTTGGCCAGATGAAGTATGTATAATGCAGTGAGTTGTGAAACAAAATTATTAAGTTTATGAAAAATAAAAAGTAGAGAATGTAACTTCTATGTCGGAACGTATTTTTCAGACACCTGAGCTCAACGCATTTTATCCGGGTACGTTATTAGAAACTGGTCATGATATACTTTTCTTTTGGGTTGCCAGGATGGTATTTATGGGCCAAAAATTATTAGGACAGTTACCTTTTAAGTACGTTACAAATGCATTCAGTGTCCATACTTTTATGCACAAAGAAATGAGATATACATCTTGTGTAAAAAAAAAATTTTTAATATTTTTCTCTCTTTTAGAGAAGTGTATTTACATGCGATGGTGAGAGATGCGCATGGAAGAAAAATGAGTAAATCCTTGGGAAATGTAATAGATCCTATGGATGTGATTAAAGGAATATCTTTAGAAGTATGAACAATAATTTGATATTTTTATATATTGCCGGCCATTAATTGAAAATGTCTATTACATGAAATGAAATCAATCTTATGCATTACAATTAATATATTTTTATTTTATTTGTTTTATAATGAAATAAAAAATATTAAATAATAAATATTAAAAGTTTTACAAAAAATATTTTTACAAGAAAAGCACTAAAGCTGCATTCGGAAATGTCATCCAAGTGTCATGCATCATTTTATCCTTGTTTAATATTCGATAAACAAAAAGAATAAAATGATACCCGGGCGCACTCGTATGATTTTTTCCGAACGTAGCCTAAAGTATTAAATACATTATTTTATGTCTTATTTTTTTCGTCAAAATAGCCATACTATGCTATTTGATAATATTTTTTTACTAATCTAACAATAAGTTATCTAGCTACAAGTTACTAATTTTTTTCTGACGAAAGATTCATCCATCTTCTAAAATGATCCATAGCTCAGTTTTGAAGAAAAAGACTTTATGGCCATAGTTCGTTTTCTGAAATTGAAATTAAACAATACTATTAATCATAACTGCTAATATTTATTTACTTTCAAATTTAAAAAAATATTGTGTACTTTTCGAACTTTTAAGCAGTGTTTTACTGGAATATTTTAAATTGTATATGTGATCTCAAATTTATCTATAGTGTGATAAAAAGTTCTCTTCTTCAGGACCTCCAAAAACAATTGTTAGATTCGAACTTGGATTCAAAAGAACTGGAACGAGCTCAAGAGGGTCAGAGACGTGATTATCCGCAAGGCATTCCCGAATGTGGAACGGATGCTTTACGATTCGCACTCTGTGCTTACACCACTCAAGGACGAGATATAAATCTCGATATACTCCGTGTGCAAGGATATAGATTTTTCTGCAACAAGATATGGAACGCTACAAAATTTGCACTTGTCTATCTTGGATCTCAATTTAAGTGCGACACAAATGATACGGTAAATTTTAATATTTTGTGAGTTTGTGTTCCGATTATTAAGTATCAAATGTATAATTATGAATTACTTTATACCAGAAATTGAATAATGCTAATTGCATTGACGTGGTTGGAGATGGCAAGTGGTACCAGCGGACTTTAAACGAATCGTGCGTGCAGGAAGCGCTAAACAATTATTTAGTGGATTATCCGTACCTCGATGGTTATACACCTTCGCAACTTGACTCATCGGTTTATCAATCAATGAAGGAATTAAACATTGATCTTGCAAGACATCTGCACATTAAACGTTGGTACGATCATATCGCGACATTTACAGATGAAGAAAAGGCTGTGTTTCGTGCGGAACAGAATAAAATAATACCGAAACTTGCATACCTTAATCAGAATCAACGCAATAATGATGATACATTTGAGGTAAAATCTTATTTAATATACAAGTAAATACTTTGTTTAAAAGGAAGTTGTAAAAATTTTGATTTTTCATGATCTTATAGCTGACTGGAAATGAGACAAATGTAGATTTATGGATGTTATCGCGAATCAGTTACGCTGCCATAACTTGCGACGAAGCGATAAAACAGTATGACTTTGCACTGGCCACTACTACCTGTTACAATTTATGGTTATATGATCTGTGTGATATTTATTTGGTTAGTAACAACTTTGTAATATATGATACGTTTATGAAATAAGAAAAAAATTTTTTTATATATCAATTTGCGTGTTTAGGAGTACCTCAAGCCAGTATTCCAAAGTGAAGATAACGCTGCTAAGTTAGCAGCTCAAAAAGTATTATTTATAACGCTGGACGTGGGATTGCGTTTATTGAGTCCGTTTATGCCGTTTATAACGGAAGAGCTTTATCAGCGTTTACCTCGTAAAAAGCTAATATATCCAAGTATATGCGTAAGTCCGTACCCGGATGGTGCCAAGGTGGGTAATTATATATTTACAAGTGTGATAATAAAACACGCAATTAAAATAACAGTGCCATAGTGCATGCCATAATATATCTGTTGTATTTCAGTGTTGTTGGAGAAACCAGGAGATTGAAAAGGACGTTGACTTTGCGCAAAAAATAATTAAGAATGTTCGATCCGCTCGCGCGACTTACAATTTACCTAATAAAACGAAAACCGAAGCGTATGTCGCATGTAGCGATCCAGCTTTAAAGGAAAAGATTGTTCGATATAAATTGCTCATAGAAACTCTTGCGTATTCTACTCTTAGCATGGAAAAACCACCGATAGGTTGTGCTATTGTCACTATAACTAACAAGGTTCAAGTGCATCTATTACTAAAGGTAATTAAAATAATAAAGAAATTCAGCTCGATCTAATAATAACACAATAAATAATGGGCCAAAGACGAGCAACAAAAATTAATAGATGTTTAATTATTTATTTATTCAAAAAGTAATATATCGCGCCACTAGTTTCAGCCTGACTAGGCCTTTTTCGATCGCATTAAATCTAAACGCAAATAAGAAATTAAGTCATATTAAAGTATAAATTACACACGCAGTCAATAATTATAACATTTAAAATAACGCAGTCGAGAAATCTTGTATGACAGATTAAATCCATACCGGAAATTGGATGGTCTCCACGTTCAACCATGGGATTTCCATGACAATTAATACGACATTAAAATGTTTGTTAATGATCGTGTCGAGCAAAAATTCCATGCGGTCGGAATGTGTTGATGGAAAGCCATTAAATCTAATAAATAAATTGTTCAAGATATTAAACTAGAACTTATTCTTTATATAAAAATTATCAAAGATAAATCGTTATAGCTATTTGGCTAAAACATTTTTATATAAAAAAAACCAATTTAGACTTCACTAATTACAATGCAAAAACTTACAATTCCACATGATACCACATGGTATTCAGGCTATACAATACCAAGTGCGTTCTAGTCGGTGTTTCGTGACATAATGAGAATAATAAATTGAAGTCAATTTTTACAAGTACAACTATTTTTAGCTTAGACAGAGTTATTAAATTATCACATCCTACTTACCACCAAAAAATTTACATGTATCGACACTGTTAAATAATGGATATCCGCTTGAATTAATTGTCAGCAAAATAAATGATAGATTAAAAACATTTGCGATCCAAAAAAATAATATTAATTTGGAGGATGATACGATGAGCATTGAGAGGAAAATCATTGCTTTCCTTTATATTAAAAATGCATAAGAAATAGTTATGTCATCCATAGAGAGAAATCAATTTATGATCGGTTATAGGTGTTTAAATAGATTGAACCACTTCATAAGAAGACGCAAAGATAGAGATGATCGTGAATTGAGTAATAATATAGTTTATAAAATGCAATGTAGAGATCGCGAGGCCTCATGTAGGTCAAACAAAAGACAAGAACGCGGGTCAGAACACAAGAAAAATATTATGTTAGACATCTCAAGACACTCAGTCAGACTACTGTGTAATTTATACTTTATAATATGACTTAATTATTATTTGTATTTAGATTTAATGCGATTGAAATAGTTAGGCTGAAACTAGGCTGAAACTCGCGATACATTACTTTTTGAATAAATAAATAATTAAACATCCATTAATTGTTGTTCGTCTTTGGCCCATTATTTATTGTGTAATTAACACATATACTTTTAATAATTATTATATTATTATGTAATCATATATTTATTATATGGATATATTTCGCAGGGTTTGATTGATCCAAAGAAAGAGTTGGAAAAATTACAAAAGAAGGAAGTACAATTGATTGAGATTATACAAAAATTGAAACAGGATTTAACTGTACCCGATTATGATGTAAAGGTACCTCTTGATGTTCAACAAAATAACAAGGAAAAATTAGCAAATAATGAAGGCGAACTGCAACGAATTATCGATGCAATAATGGTCTTACAAACAATGTAGAAAATAAATCTATAGAAAGCTTTGTAAACACTGAAATTTATGATACATAAGTTACTTATTTATTAAATTATTTAACAGTAAGTAACTTATTTATTGAGTTAAGACTCCTGTTCACTCACCACTACTATCTTAGATTCGAATGCCAGAAACGTGAAAATATACAATAAAAATTCTTTCAAATATATTAAAATGTTTCAATAAGTTAACTTACAATCGACCTTAGAGCTGACTCGTAAACTATCCTGAAAAAATGCTGTCCTTTTATTTTGTTAATTAATAAATGACCATATATCTATAAATGAATTATACATAACCAAAAGTGAAATTATGTTCGCAGCTATGACAATTATCAAATTAATCAATCAATAGTCCTACTACTCTTGTCAGAGCGTAGTGACCTCTTCTCGTATTTCTGCGATGTGCGCTATTTACACTTTTACGCAGATATGCGGGACCTACAATTTTAACGCCGGTTCCGAACGGCCTATTTTTTTAATGGAGAGGTTCTCTTTGGCAAAGATACTCTCAGTA